CGGGGTCGGCGAGCAGCCCGGACGACGCGGGCGCGCCAGGACCCGACCTCGCGCCCATCCACCGACCCGGCAGACGACGGAGCAGGAGAACGTCGCCTCGACCGGCAGCACCCAGACGGGAGAGGGTGGGGACTGGAGGGGCGGGTCGGCGTCTGTGCCTTTGGGCGGGGGCGGAGCCCAGTTGCTGGGGCTTGTGGGTGAGCCGAGGGGAATAAAGGAGCGGCCGGAGCAAGCCGAGGAGGACTCGCTGGACTGGCTGCAAGCCTGGCAAGGCTACTGAGCAACGCAGAGAGAAAGTCAGTTAGCACAGGCGAAAGACGGCAGTTCCAGACAGACCCAAAAGAAGAGAGGAGTGACGGAACTCCCCTCAGGGTCTGTGTCTGAGGCACGCTCCGTTATCCGCGACGGATCCTTTTCCCCTCCTCCTCCCGCAGTAGCCTCAGCATCTCCCCGCGGTCCACGGGAACCGTCTTCCGGACAAGGGAAGACACGGCGGAGGGTCCAGACCCCGGGCGGGAGCCAGCGGCACCTCACAAATGTTAATTGCTCGATTTTAAAGAACCCAGAAGAAAAGAAGATCATCCAACTGCAGAAGATGCTATTGACTTTAACTTTAATACTAAAAGATTAACATACTAATATTTAACATCACTCAACAATTTTCTTTATCCCTCTATAGACCCTTCCTAATTTCTTGAACTGTAAAAGCAAAATTTCTCTCCTTTTTAGGAGAGGGAAATAAATAAATAATAATAAAAAAAGAATATGTAACGTGAGGATGTATGGTCAATCAACCTCCATTAATTTTTATTGGCACATGATTACACCCTATAACAATAATTACCCTTTGCCTAAAACTAAGACTCTCCACATCAGTTTTACTTAATTTAGAAGACTCTGAAAAGGTAAAATGCAATAATAAGTTTTTAACAATGTCTTTATTATAAACTGTTTTGACAGAGTTAGGATAAACATACTTTTCAAAACGTGTATATAAAGTTCTCCATTAACCTATGTTGAGATTGATTTTTAGGAAAGAAACATATCTTGCAGATCAGAGCTTTAATTTGTTTGTTGACAGAATTTGCTAGTTTCCAAACTCATGGCAACATAGAAAAAGTATTACAGATTCAAATAGGTAACTTTAAATTAAATATATGGTTCAGATACCCAAGAACAAACATGGCATCTAGCAAAATAAAAAAATAAAAAAGAACAGTGACAAAGAATATTTAAATCTTCAATGTCTGGTGAAGAGGATGTAATGTTGACTCTTGTTTGGTATCCCCAGATAAAAGGTAAGGCAACTGATATGGAAGAAGGTGCTGCCCACCATATTCTAGGCATAGATTGTTCAGCATTTTTAAAATTATGACCAAAACTTTGGAACTGTGTTTAGGAGAAGTTGACAGGTACCCAAAACAACTTTGCCAAGATAGGAGTAATGCATTCTCTGCAGCTACTCCTGTCAGCAGTGAACACTAATGCCCTGAATGAACTTGGACCTTAAAACATTCTTCAAAGGCAGTCCTGTATAAACATAAGCTAGAAAAACAGAATAGAATATGAAATGTTAGTGCTGAATTGGAGCTTCTTACAGACTTGAGAACCAGTGTGGTGTAGTGGTTAGAGTGTTGAACTAGGACAGTGGTGGCGATGGCACGGGTGCCAGAGGTGGCACTCAGAGCCCTTTCTGTGGGCACTGTGCCATCGCCCCAGCCAGGCCCAGACCATCATTAAAGTGTTGAATTCTCTGCCAAATAATTTTAAGTAAATGAAAGCATTTGGGATTGCTTTCCTTACTTTATTTGGATCATCTTAAGTTAATGTATGGGTTGTTTTTTCTAAAGTAAAACCTCAGTATTCAGGTTAAATTGCCGTGTTGGTACTTTGCGATAAATAAGTGGATTTGGGGTCGCAGTTTGGGCACTCGGTCTCTAAAAGGTTCGCCATCACTGGACTAGGATCTGGGAAACTTAATCCCAGCTCTGCCATGGAAGCTTGTAGGGTGACGTTTTGGCCAGTCACATACACTCAGCCTAACCTACCTTATGAGGCTGATGCAGGGGTAAAATAAATAGGAGAACAGTGTGAGCTGCTTTTGGGGTCCCCATTGGGGAGAAAAGGGAGTGTAAATGAAGTAAACAAATAAATACTGCATAGAGTTATCAGTAGTAAAATCATGGTGAATATTATCAATGTATCTGAGAACCAAACTATGGGTTGGATCCAACCAGCTTTTCCTCTGGTGAAAAAAGGAGAAAGGAGTCGTTTATGATGACCAACAAAGTTATGCTAGGGAATCATGTGACCTGCATGAATGAAAGCCATGTGGTACAGGAACTGTGATAATAGAATTTACCGAGATTGAAGGGGGGAAAGGTTGCCTGGAACCAACCCTACATCTTATATGCAAGGTATGTAATTGGAATTCCTGTATCAGGAGTCTGCCATTTTAAAGAAGTAATTCTTGAAGTTGGGCCCTATGAAGGGGGCGTCTAGACTTCTCTCCTCAATGCCATTTACTGTTCAAAATGACCATCCTGGTTGCTGTTTTTCTCATGGACAAGAATGCAAAATGGTAAAGGGTTTAACACTATTTTTTCCAGTTTCTCCACTGCTTTCACTGCTGCTTGTACCAATATAGCAGTTTAGTGCAACTGCATTTCATAAGAAAAACAAAGTGGGAGATGAAGTCATGGATTTCCTGTGTGACGTGCCGCTTGGCCCTAACACTTGTTAATGTGCACTCAGGCAAGGAAACAGTGTACAACACCCCTAATGAATTGCCCAAGGACCGTAGTTTTCAAACTGTAGCAGCCCAAGGACTCCCAATTACATTAAAAGTTTTATACAGACCCCAAGCCTATTGATGTTTATTTCAGTGTAATCTTGCATAGAATTCATTAATGGGATCCCCGCTATGGACATAAATATAGCAGTTTCTCCTATTATATGATTATTACACATCTCTCCTTGTCTTCTCCCTTCCTCTCCAAAGACTGTGTCTCAGCTGGGTTCAAGAACCAGCCTGCTTCTAGGGTGTCCCCTGGTTCTACAGACCCCCTCCCCCCCCCCGGAATACTCCTGTAGAGTGTCAATGATCCACAGACATCAGATTGAGAACCACAGCTATACATAAGCTATAGTATGAAGTAAAGTACTGCGAAATACTTGTAGTAAGACTTATATTGTTACTAATTGCTGTTTCTGCTAGTCTTTCAAAAATTATTGATGAAAATAATTTTACTCTACTTTTCTGTTCTCATGGAACAGAGTTTGGGGAGGGGCTGGCTCAGTTGAAGAGCTCCTGCTTTGCATACAGAAGGTCCCAGGGTTCAGTTTCTGGCATCTCCAGTTAAAGGGACCAGGCAGTAGGTGATGTTAAAGACCTGAGACCCTGGAGAGTTGTTGCCAGTCTGAGCAGACAGTACTGACATTGGTGGACCAATGGTCAGATTCAGTATAAGGCAGCTTCATGTGTATTTGTGTGCAGGTGGCTAACAGTAAAACAGCAATAAAACACCCAACCCGTGAAATGTAAATGTTGTTAATAGCAACCATGCCAAATCTTTATTTTTCCAAGTATGATGCAATATCTTTTCTGAAGTGCTGATTTCATTATTTTTTGGAATGATAAAGGTATATCATGTGTGTTTGTGTGTGTGTGGCAGGGTTGGGGGGATATTCCTAGTGTTTTTTATATTGTGTTGTACTGGTAGAACAATAATTATAGAAATGCAGCACTGGAGGATATGGATTTAAATTACTTGATGTCTATTTATATGTAATGTACTTTTTTTAGATAGTGATTTCTCGTTCAGCCTACACAACACCATACGTGAACTTCCAGCTAGATGTTCATCCTGTTTCTCCAGAAGTTATAATTGAAAATTCACCAGGTGATAATGGATATGTCTTGGCAGTCACTGGGAATAGGGTAAGAACTTCAAATGCCTTTCTGCTAGTATGTACTGATATGGACTCAGAGAGGCAGTTTTATATAAGGATTACTGCTGTAATTAATGTGCTTCTATTGTTTAAGGTGTGTTTCACATCCATCCTGTATTTCATTTTTGCATTTTGTACTCTGTTGCTCCAAGGTCAGTCATTGGTTTCTGAGTTGAGATGTGAAATGAAACCTGGCAGAGTGTAACTCACACATGTTTGTCCAGCAGGTTGTGTAGCTCAGTTGGATTTGGACCCTAACATGTTATGTGTCATTTTAACAGTGCCATCCTTAACACAGTTAAGTACTGCAATCCTAAGAATAGTTACATTATACTAAATCCATTGACTCCAGTGGGCTTTGAAGAGTTTAATTCTGTCTAGGATTGCACTGTAGGTTGTTTTCATTGATTATGTTAAGCACAGCTTTTATTCTAGAAACCTGTGTATGTTTTAATGCAGGATAGAAAGTGGAAGATGTAATCATCTATTAAATGTATGGTCTAGGCAGAGTAACCTTTATGTTTTAATTAAAGATAGGAAATAAGGAAAAGCTGATTTAAGTGACATTAGTGAAAGAGGCCTACAACTATGTACCTTGGTTTGGTTACTGGGCCACCGAGGTTCAGGTTATTTAAAGCAGCTGTGAAAAAGAAAAAAAAATCCTTTGCAGCCTTTCCAGGCTCTTGTGTATATTGTTTGTTTCCTTAGATATTTTTTGCTCAGACCAAGGAAGCAAGTAAATGAATATTGAGAATTGTTTGAACATGAGAACTGTGATGCAAACCAGCAAAAGAGAGGAAATGTAAATATAAGCCTGACACCTTTCTTTTTCTTCAGAGCAGGCTGCTGTGAACTAAAATGCACAATGACTTCAGTAAAAGAATGGGGTTTAGAATTTCCTGGCCTTTGTTGGTTTGTATTAGCCTTAATGCCATTTAAGTAGATTTTCATGTTTAAAAAAAGAGCTTGAAGTATAGATGACTCGTTGCACTATAATCAGTAGTTCTTAATTGCTGTTTTACACCATGCTGCTGATATAATCTTGCCTTTTAGGAACATCATATGCAGGGCTCTAGTCGGGGGGGAGCTCTCAGGTACGGAGCTCCGGAAGAGAACCTCTAGGGGGCGGGGCGGTCACGTGGTGAAGCCCCGCCCCCTTCTTTACCCCGCCCTCTGCTTCGATCCTCATTCCGTTTGGGAATGAGGATGAAGCAGGAGGGTAAGTAGCCGGGCCTTCTGACACACTTCCGGTGATGTCAGGGGGTGTGGCCTTCTGTCACTTCCGGTGATGTCAGGGGGCGTGGCATATGCAAATAAGTTATGCTAATGAGTTATGCTAATGAGCTCCGGCAGCTCTTTTTCTACAACAAGACCCCTGATCATATGTGTTCTTTTATTATGAAGGCAGCATTATTTGTGTCTTACAAGAGAGCAGTTATTTATTTATTTGATTTCTAGCCACTGCACAGCAAGGCTCAGGGCAGGTTACAACAATGCATATAAACAGTAAAACACAATAAAAACAGTTAACCATACATTACAATCAATTTGCCTATATGAAATCATTTAATCCTAATCTGTTAGATGGGAAGTAACACAGCCCAAATAACAGTTACTTCCAAAACTCTACATCTATGTGCCCATAGATGACAACATACAAAGGCAAGTCGGTGGGCAAGAGGAAACAGAAGGAGGTAGAACAAGAGAGGCAGAGCAGGGGAGGCCGATACAGATGAAGTTTCACCTGCTCAACCATAGGCCAAGTGGAACATCTCCATTTTACAGGCCTGGTGGAACTGTATTGTCCCACAGGGACCAGATTTCATTTGGGAGAGTGTTCCAACAGGCCGGCACCAGAGCTGAAAAAGTTTTGGCTCTGGGTACCTCATGTCTGTGGGATCACTTCTACATCTATGATCCACCATGATGGCTTTGCTCATCTGAATAGGACCTTCTGCAGATTTCACCCTTCAAATAGGCAAAATCAACAACTGCCTGCATACATGCATTCTCTGTTGTGACCCCCATCTTGTGAAATGGCCTGCCTGATGAAGTCAGGAAGGCTCCTACGCTGCTGGCTTTCCATAAACTATGCGAAGTTGAATTCAGTAAAGCTTTTTTATGCAGGTAATTAGGGATGTACTATAAAAAATGTTTCAGAAAGCTGCTTTGGTAAAGAGATAATGACTGTTGACTATACTACTGTGTATAGTATGTATTGTCTGTCAACCTAAGTATGATCCTTGCAATGTAATTTCTGCATCATTTGTCATGCTACTGTTTATCCATTGTTTCAGCTCCATTTTCAGATTTCTGAAATCTAAACCTTATTGGATGTCCCATCCTGTTGATTATATTTGATCTACATTGTGTAATCTGCCTTGAATCTCACTGAGAAAGGCAGGCTATAAATAACGTAAATAAATAAAATAAATATTGTATCTACTACTGTTGGCATGATCAATTATCCTGGGTATGAAAGACAATTGAGTCAAGATTTTTATTTTCCTGTTTAGTTATTTTAGTGTACTTTACATGCTAGAGGTTGAATTTAGAAGATAGTAGCCAGTGGGCACCTTTGGAATTGTGAGATGGGGTGGTGGGTGAAGCCACAAACTAGCTGCCACAGGAGGTGGAGCCAACCACAAAATGGCTCCTGTAGGAAGTGGAGTCACACACACAGAGGAAGCCCACATTGGGGGGGGGAGGGGCAATTTAAAATATATATTTATTTTTATTTATTTTTATTTTATTATATTTATACCCCGCCATCCCCGCAAACGGGCTCAGGGCGGCTTGGAAGGAGGAGTGAGAGTGAATAAAACTGTGGTGGCAGCTGATGCTGAAACAGTATTATTTTGATGCTGAAACAGTATTATTTTAATGCTGAAACAGTATTATTTTAATGCTGAAACAGTATTATTTTACTCTGCACAGCCAATTGGATCTCTGGTGGCCAATCAGAAGCCCTGCTGGACAAGACCCCCACCTGGCCCCACCCACTTTATAAAAAACACTTGATGGCAGGACAGGTATTGGCGGGTTCTGTGTCACCCATGGGCACCACGCTGAGGACCCCTGCTGTAAACTGTCCAGTATCTACCATATGACACAAATGCATCAACAAAATATGATACAGCTGCCCAAGGCTAATCTTTCAACAGTGCACTGATAGTTTCTCCTGCACAACCTTTATGAATGGAAGTTGTGCAAGAGCAATACTGTTTTTTTGGCAGCTCTTCTTGATTTCAACAGAGCTTGTATTGAAGGCTCCTTTAATCCGTTAAAGAGTATAAACCTTGAGAATTGTCAAAGATACCAACTGTGTAAGTAAGAGGATGGCTAATTCAAATATGTTCTGCAATGGCTTGAAAGCATTACTGACTTTTCTGACCTCTATGAATTCTCTGCTAATCGAGGTGATGCCACTTTTCTGTCATTAGATAACAAAGATTCCACTAAATGGACCAGGTTGTAATCATTTCAATACCTGCAGTCAGTGTCTTTTGTCACCTTCCTTCATGAAGTGTGGTTGGTGTAGTGATCGGTGTACACGATCTGGCGAGTGCAATGTAGGACTGTGGACACAAGAGACCTGTTTACCCAGAATCTATGAGGTAAAGTTATTCTTAAACTGCATGAGATAAATTCTTGAGAAATTGATGTTTGTGCTCTTTGAAAATAAAGTGTTATGAATAGGTTCTAGGGCCTTTGAGGTAATCAGTTCATAAAACAAAAGTATATCTGTTTCTTATTTGTTGGGGATTATGAACATATTCTCTCAGGGTTTGTGATTCTGTTGTTAATATCATATCTACGGGGCCACAGCCATACAAGGGAAAACTCTATGGTTTTCCCTTGTATGGCTATGGCCCCGCCCCCAGCGTGCCCAGCATGCCTACGTCACTTTCGGGTGACGCGCGCGCGCACTCACCTGATGCCGGCCGGGAGCCCCCCGCTCCTGGCGAAGAATTATTTGGCAACCCTATATCTACTCAATTCTCAAAATGCAGTATTTTACCACTGAAGAATGAGATTCCTCTTCCCCTTCCGTTGCCCCAGCACATTTAATTGTATTGAGACTGCTGCATTAAATGTGATTGTACAAAGTATCACAGGTGTCTGTTGGTTTCTGTAACATGCCTAATAATTAGCAAACCAGTTCTCGCGGCTCTTACCTACATCATGTTGTAATGTAGGGATTGCTAATTTTTTTAGCTTTGGTGGGACTGAATGCTCCCTAGTTAAGGTACTTAAGGGCTGAGGCATTCTGTCAGTGACATCCTTTCCTAGGTTGGTAAGGAAGAAGTTCAACCCCTTCTTCCTCTCTCAGGCTGAACAAAGTGGCCAACTTTACCCTGGCTCGGCTGGAAGTAACAGAATATTCCACTCATTTCCTTTTCTTACCTGTGGATGGCCCTTTCATCAGCAAATGGAAGATCAATCCAGCCATAACTGCAGAGGCCCCTGGGACAATATATCTGGGTTCCAGTTAAGTTAATATGCTGCTTCTGTGCCAGTCAGCCTTATTATTGAGTCTTGCTGATTGCTGCTAGATCATTCAAAGAATCTCAGAGTGCTGGTTCATAATTCCATCAGAAAATGGGATATCACCTAGAGGTTGTCAAGGGCACCTTACTGGCAATGTGTCATAGACAAGAACACTGATTGTATTAGATATTCATTTATGAGAGGGAATGCGCATGTAACTTACTCAAATAAGAAGCCCTAAATATGTGTCGATATGTCAAACAGATCCCAAGCACACCCAATTCTGGGCAAAAGACATGCCTTTTTGGGATGAGAAGTCTGAAATAAGAGTGACTTTTTCATTCTTGGTAGCAAAAGTCATTAAAGCTTGCTATACTGTGGAAAGAATGGTACCAATATATATATAATGATTGTTTGTGGAATTTTAGGTCTTTGTTCATTTTATTATTTATTATTCTGTATCCTAACTGGTTTTTATAAGCTGATCGGAATTTACGGAAGGGATGGGATTCCATTTTCAAATAAACAAACACAGCTGTCAGTTTTGCAGATGCGTTTGGTCATATGCCTTTTTAAGTGCCTCCTTTTCCTTTATTGTTTCCCAGTGAATAAAGACACACTGCCAATTTGCCCTTGGGAAAGGGTACAACTGGAAACTCCTTTCAAGTGACGAAAGTGTACCCCTCCCCCCAAAAGTGAACAAAATTACACAAATGGTTTAGAAGTTTAGTAGACTTTTGCTGTTTTCATTTAGCTATGGTTATTGCAAGATTTGTACAGACCAACTCTGCATTTAACCAAAACATTTTACATTAAGTGTGACATAATTAGGGAGGTCTGGTTTCACTGAATAGCAAGGACACTTGTAAACACACACACAAATGCTTTTGTGCTTCTTCTGCGGCTGCTGTTGTTATACTTGCATGGCTGAGCTGATAGGAACAGATCTTGAAATTACCAAAGGACAGTTAAAAAGCTCAGCAGCTTGTAAAATAGTGCCCAAATTAAATTTGTAGAATAAAAGGAATTGGAATGAAACTTTCTTCCGCAATTTGTTTTGAAGTAAAAGAAAAAAAACTTCACACATGTATATTATGACAAGCCATTAATATGATGATGATAAAATGCAGCTGTTACAATGGATTACAACTGAGTTTTGAATTCAGAAACTCTTAGTGAACTATTCTTCCAATGTTATACAAATATGCAACACTGAAGGAAAATCTGTCTCTTACAAGTGAGTGGTTTATGATTGCTTTAAGCAGCAAGTGCTTATGACTAAATGGAGTAGAAAGTCAAGCCCTAAATAACTTTTAAATTATGAAGTCTGATTCATAGTTACATTAGACCCCCTTTAAGTTGTTCACATAGTGTAAAAGGGCCTTGGAGTGAATGTAAATCATATTTAAAACCACATTAAGGTCCCTTACCCTTGCCATTACAAGGATAACAGATCTCAGTTCAGGTGAGGTCAGTCTATGATTCTACAAGGTCAGTACAAAGTTATTCACAGCTCGCCATTGCAGTTCGCTTTTTAAAAAAAATAATCACAAAATGCATGCGTGTTTTTGTTATATCTGCATTTTCACTTACATGGAATGACTTAAAGGCACTGACTTCTTTACATGGTCATCCTGCCAAGCCCAGTGATCAGACCCTTGTGCTGAGCTTTGGTTTCTCAAGAATAGTTTTATTTGAGGCTAGTGAATTAAAAAATTTATCAGAGTGCAGTTGGATTGATTTAAAGCCTGTGTTCATATGCTGCATATAATTTAAAAATGCAATAAATACAAAAATCTGGCAGTGATAAATGGCAAAGTATCCTAATAGCTTGTGCCACAGCATGTGTAAGTTTGTGAATCTTGTTTCTAGAAGGAAGGAAAATAATGCAGTTGAGTATCTAAATCCTTTATGGTTGCTAGCTGCTAATGCAGATTTCATGCTTTACTGGACCGTGACAGTTGGCATTACTACTATTTTTTTTTTTAATAGCAAAAACCTGTGGTTTTTCTTCTGGTTTCCATCAAATGGATGATAACCTGCTTTGTGTGACATTTGCAGTAGAACCTGAAAATCCCTTAATTTATAAAAGAGGAACCAAGTGATTAAAATATATTAAATGATACTGTAGTCATGTTGGTGAATACAAAGAAGTAGCAGCAGAGCTCACAGTGAGTCAAGGCTAATATTCCCTTTGCTCTTTGCGTGATAATAATATTGCCCAGCATTCTATAGCATTGAATCCCCAGTAGTATGAGCATCCCAGCTGTGCTAGATACAGTTTCTAGTCTCATGTTTATTTTTAGCTGCAGTTCAGTGGGCTTAAGATAGTTGTGGAAAAGGTATGAAACCACATGAGCTTGATCAGCCATCTCAAGACTAGTTTCAAGACTCAAAGGATTTGACTCAAAGTAAGCGCAGACTGATTTGACCGCTTGAGTCCTTTGCCAGTGAAAATTGTTGGTTATTTTTCTCATCACTTACAATGAACTAGTCTGGGGCCAGAGCACCTGAAGGACCACCCGCTCCCATAAAACTTCCCTCATTGTTACGATCTTGTCCAGAGTCTCTCCTCTGGAGGTGAAGTGAGTGTCTACCCCTGTTCTGCTTTCTTGTTCGCGGAACTCTACCTCAGCCCCATTTGCTAGCATTTACACTGCTGAGTTTGAAGTGCCCGGTGATGCCTTTCTTGCTTACCCATCTGATGTTGGTGTCACATAACATTAGTTTTTGTGCTGATGACTTTGATGATAAGTTTTGTTTCTTGGTTGGTATTTATAGGTGTGTATTATTTTTTTATTCATGTTGTGTTTATAAAAATCATTGTAAGCTCTGAGGACCCAGTGAGTTGATAAGTAAAATACAGATGTTTAGATAAATAAATACTTCAGTTTAGAGGAAAAATTGTGGAAACATTGAATAAATCCCACTTTTGTATCCTTGGCTTTAAACTGTCCACTGCTCCTTCCCTGATGTATTTCTTTACTGTGACAATAAACCCAGCTGTCACTATGAGCCTAGAAGTATTCACAGTCACATTCTCAAAGCATCCTGAATATCCCAATAGAATATCATATGTGTTTGGAAATGTACAACTGAGGATTTTTTAAAATAATAAAACTGCTGATGAAACTTTCCCTGGGCAGTTTTGTGTATGCTTGTTTGTTTGGCGTTCAGCTATTCCACTTGTTTAGCTCAGTTACTCTGTTGAGATGTCTTGAAATTTTGCTTGTGCCAGTTAAAAAAATGGTGCCTTTGTTAGTCAAGGTGAAAAACAGTGCAAAAGCAAGCTGGGAAATATATGGATGTTACCAGGCAGATAACCTTGCTGTGGAACATTTTTTTAAAAAAATGCTGTAGTGGTTTTTTAAAGAAACTTGTTAGTCCTTGGTAAATTTGGCACTACTAAAATAAAACAAGCTTGCTTACATGTAAGCAGTGCTCTTAAAGATCCTTGGCCATCACTTCCTTTGGAGCTCATGTGTCCAGTTTGACTCTGGACTGAGGATGAAGCTGCGAGACAAAGGGAAAGACCCTCTTTACAGTACTTGACAGATTTTAACAGGCTTCTTGCCAGTTGTCCAATCTGATTGGCTGTCAATGTGCGTGTTAAGTGTGGATATACAGTGCATATCTTGGTCAATCTTCTTTCATAGAATTAAGGACAAGTAAGAGAATATTTGTTCGCTGTCCTTGAATGGTGTAAGACCTTTATTTATTTAGATAAGGTGTTTGCTCCCTCTCATAAAGAGAACGTTAACATTGAAAGAGAATCCAGGTGAACTCTGTTGTTGTTACACTGTTTTGTTTTGTTTTTCTTAAAGAGCTCAGAGCAGCGCATTTAGTGTTGTCTCTCACCTTTTTATCCTCATAACAACCCTATGAGGTACATTAGGCAGAGAAAAGGTGACTACTCCAAAGTTACTCAGCAAATTTCATAGCCGACTGGAAATTTGAATCCAGGCCTCACTGGTATGTTCAGCATTCAGTAACACTGTTCTGGCTTTAGAATAATTTGGATTTGATTCTTTTCCCCTTTTCCCAGAAGCAATAATTTTACTATTATATGGTTTAATTTGTGCAGCATGTTCACGATACCCATTTTTCCTTTGGCATTTCATTTCTTAAATCCTTCTAGTATTAAGCTAAGGAGATGAACTTTAAAAGAAACCTGCCAGTATCATTGGAAGTTCAAAGAGACTAGTAACCTGAGCATTTTTGCCAGTAATGTTCCTTTCAGATGCAGCATGAACAAGCAGCATTCATGATGAAAGGCACAAATGTGCTATGTGTTAGGAGGGGAATAACTACCACTATAAAAGATTAAGCCAAAGACACTTTAGTAGTTCCATCACAATCATAAGTTAAGTCTTTTATTCTCTGGTTGAGGTAAGGGATGTTTACAAAATTAAATGGAATTGTTAAATGCCTTTGTAAGCCCCAAAGCATTTCCAGATTTTTATTCACAGTGTCTTCACTGAATTTTGTACAACTTCTACAGAATTCATAGATTTTTTTCCCACCATTGTTATATTTACAATGTTGAAGGTTGTTGAGGGTAGGAGGAAGAAGAACATTTCCTTTTTTAGATTGTCACTCAATTGCTGCAAGGTAGCTTATTTTTAACTTGAAATTTCAGAGTACCCGAATGATAGTAATTAAGCCAAAGCATTGGTAGAAGTTGCATTAAATTTGTGGCTCCCAAGGCAATATTTGATTTAGATGTTTTGAAAAGCTGCTATTGCTGCAAATTCCTGCCTTTCATCAGCCTGGTGAAATAAGTTACATGGTCATTTTAAGATTCTTTTATTCATTTTTCATGCTTCTGATAAAATAAGTACATTGTATTCTTTTACATGCCATGAGAAAGACATAAAAGACAAGCTAAAGGGGTATTAAAAAGACTATTACAATGCAGCGCTTGTTCAATACCCTCCAAACATAATCATTCAGAGCTTTCTAGTAGCAGCTGGATTATTTATTGCTACTGTGTGAGGAAGTTCATACTGTGATCAATGAAAGGTGGGAACAATTAAGATAAAGGAGAAGGTACTTTCCAGCAGAAGAAATTACTCCTTTCTATGATTGTTTTCCTTTTAAAAAACACTTTCAAAGCCCATGAGAAATCCTAAGTGTGTTACTGGGCTTCCCCCCCCCTTTAGATTCTTCCAAGAAATGTACCTTTCGACAGTGCCACTCGACTGACGCTATGTGGGTGGGACTTCGGATTCAGCAAAAATGACAAGTTCAGTTTACAGACTGTGTCGGTTCTTATCGGTGGACAGCGATGCATCCTGGATGCCAAAGCAAGTGACAAGAACAAGTAAGAGATCAATACTCAGCTTCTAAGCAAGTATTGCCATGTGGGGAGCTGATGCAATGCTCCCAGCAACTGGGATTATTCATTCATTCTTCAGTACATGTGTAGTTTCTGCCATCTTGATAGGTAGCACATTGCCTGAGGCAATGGAAGCTAGCCCAGTTTCCATTTTATGAGGCTTGCTCTGTTACTTCTCAGTGGCACTGAAGTTCCTCTACCACAAAAGAACCATCTGTGTAGGGATAAAATAAATTGTCTAAATTGGGAGTCCGCAATATGGTAACTGTGGGTGCCATGGCGCTAGCTGACACCTTTCTTGGTCCCCAATGAGAATTTTTAAGAAAGTGGGTGCATCTGGGTGGGGCTCTTGCTCACCAGGGTGCCTGAATGGCCACTGGAGATCTGATTGGTGGTGCAGATTTTTAAAAAGTTGCTTCAGCAGCATTAGTGACCACAGCACAAAAGTCTTCACTGTATGCTGTCTGTATACCAGAAAATATTTTTAAATGTGTTCATTTTAAAAGGCATCCTATTAAACAGAGCTTCTGACTGTATTGTTGAAGCATTACTATTAGAGTTATACATAAACTCTGACATTTTGTGGTTAGCTCCGCCTAGTGCGCCAGCCATTTTGAGGTTCTGCCCACCACCTTGTGTCAGAATTCCAAAAGTCCCCACAGGCTCAAAAAGGCTGGGGATCTCTGATCTAAAGATACAGAATAAATATTCCAGGTGAGGAAATATCCCGGTAGTGTTCGTTTTTCCAGGATGCCCTATGCTTGCCATAGGAAGCTGCAGATCTTCATGCTTTTACTCATGTTGAATAATGCACTTTAGATCCAAAAGTGCAAAAAAGTGCATTGAAAGTGCATTACCCATCATTTGTGAAAGCAGCTCTAGTTATATAGCTGGGGTTCTATTGGGCACTAAAATGCCAAGCATGTCTAGACTGTTCCAGTGGGAAATGGTGAAACAATGTACACAGTTCCTAGAATCAGTGCCAGATGTGTTCTTCTTTTGGGGGGTGGGATGTCCTAATCGAGTGATCCACAGCATGGATGCCTTGGTGCTCACCACTGTGTTTCTTGGCATCCATGTACTCTTTCTCTAAAGCAGAGAGACAATCAGTATTTTCTATTCCTCACTGGAGCAGGAGATGCTTTTGAAGATGTCAGGAAGGTATCACCTGAGGGAGCCCACGTGTTCAGAAATGGCTGCCCCCATGATAGAAGAATGCTTGGTGTGGCTTGCCACCTCCCAAGATTTGTAATTATCCCCCACAGCAACCACTGTGTGACTGACACTATGTGTATGGCAGCCCATTTTGTGGTTGTGCCTACTGCACATTTCACGAAATAGTACAAGTGCACACAAGCTTGGGGACTCATGTCTTACTTAACACCAGCTATTTTATTTTCATAGCTTTATTATATTGGTAGTTACAGATAATTCTATGAAAAGTATGGGAACAAGTTGGCACAAATGCATATGGTTTGAGTGCCAAAGTAGTTTGTTGGTTCCTACAAGTGCTTACTGTTGGCTCCCATCAATGCTTGCTGTCTCCTCAGATGGTGCCAATTAGCCACCGTTCTGGAGTCCAGATCATGCATATTTGCAGTGTAACTTCCTCATATTATTAGAAAGTGTCATCATCTATGGTGATAATCTGGCAAAGCAGCAAGAATGATGTCAATTTAAGCATTCATTTGCCTGACAAGCATAGCAAGTCACAGCCTCGGCCCTTTTGATGCATTTCTGATAACGTTGTCCTAACACATTCTCTTCATTTTGGGATGTTCTTAGGAAAAACTAAGGTAGTAAATACTGCTCTTGGTCAGATAATGCTACTGTTATCTCTGTTAGAAGAGGAGCTTTTGAAAATGAGTGAAGTTCTGTTTCTGTCTCACTATTCAGATACCAAAAAGATTCTGTGTATATGAAGATAGATTCGGATGGGTAGCTGGGTTGGTCTAAAGCTATAGAACAAAGTTTGAGTCCAGTGGCACCTTTAAGACCAATAGAGTTTAATTCTGGGTATAATATTTTGTGTGCATGCACACTTCTTTGAATAACATTGAAACAAACTTCTTCCTCAAGCCTTACATATAGGTAGAGGGGGGTAGTTGCCAGGAAGGGCTAGTTAGAGACAAGATGCATAAGTAACTGGGTGATAAGTATAGCTAAAATTGGATTAAAGAAGTTGGTAAGACCTGTGAATAGAAGCAAATTAGCATACAAATAAAAGAGTTAACAAATGGATGTGAGAACTAAGTTTGAGTCCAGTGGCACTTTTAAGACCAACAAAGTTTTAATTCTGGGTACAACATTATAACAGTCTTCTCAAGTATTACGTATAGATAGGGGGCAGTTTAGTTGCCAGGATGTTAATTAGAATCAAGATGTATAAGTAACTGAGCAATAAGTATAGCTAAGTTTGGATTAATACAGTTGGTGGTAAGACCTATGGATAACAACAAATTAGCATATGGATAATAAAGGAGTCAACAACAACACATGTGAGAACTAAGCTTGAGTCCAGTGGCACCTTTAAGATCAAGAAAGTTTAATTCTGGGTATAAGCGAGAACTGAGTGACTTACCAGGTTCTTATCTCACTATACATGCTATCTCTGTTAAGCCCTGGAGGTTCAGTTGTTCTGAGTGTTATAATAACTTGTAATTCAGCAGTCTCCCATTCCAGTCTGTTCCTGAAATTCCTTTGCAATAAAACAGCTACTTGGAGGTCCCCCACTGAGCACCCTGGGAAGTTCTCCTTCAAGTTTCTCAATTTTGTAATTCTTGATGTCAGATTTGTGTCCATTTATCCTTTGGCATAGGGTTTGACCTGTTTGCCCTATGTAGAGAACTGAAGGGTATTGTTGGCATTTAATGGCATATACACTGTTAGAAAGATGAGCAAGTGAATGAGCCTGAGATGGTGTATGTGGCAGCAAAGTTGGCATCTGGGTTGGCTGCAAGCTCTGGTACCAGTATCCACGTTCAAATTAGATGTTGTATTATTGTGGGTGAAGAGTTGTTTAAGACTGGGGACTATCTTTTCTCGTTAGTCTTAAAGGTGCCACTGGACTCAAACTTAGTTCTCACATCTGTTGTTCTTAACTCTTTTATTATTTGTATGCTAATCTGCTGCTATCCATAGGTTTTACCAATTGCTTTAATCCAGTCTTAGCTATACTTATCGTCCAGTTACTTTTGCATCTTGACTCTAACTAGCCCTTCCTGGCAACTTCCCCCCCCCACACACACCTATGTAAGGCTTGATGAAGTCTGTTTCAATGTTATCCAAAGAAGTGTGCATGCACACAAAATATTATACCCAGGTTTAAAGGTGCCACTGGACTCAAACTTTGTTCTTTGTATATGAAGTTACTTCTTACGGAGTCAGGCCATTCAGTACATCTGGCTCAGTACTGCCTGTGCCTACTGACAGCAGCTCTCCAGAAACTCAGGCCTCTCCTAATACCTGAGATCCTTTAACAGGAGATACCAAAGTTCACACATGGGATTTCAAGCATGCACTCTGTTAATGAGCCACAGATCCTACATGATGTTGTGGAGATCAGGGAATACATGGTTCTCCCCTCCTCCCTTTTGTACTCATAATAACCATGTGATACCTCATAGGCAGAGTGGAGGGATGCGACTGGACTCCAGTCACCGAGCAACACTCAAACCACTACATTGCACCAGCTTTTATTATGATCTTGCAAAATCTGTTTTCTGTATAAAGTAAATAAAAATAATGTGTCTTTTTCTTGAAGACTGGAATGTACACTTGGTGCTGTAGAGAATCCAAGTTTTAATGTTTCAAGCACTGTTTCAAATGGACAAACTAATATTTCCTTCACTACATTCTCTTATGTGGTAAGTGTTCAAGGTTAAATTTTCAGTTATGAAATTACATTATATTAATTTTCATTTGTAATTTGTTATGTTTCATATTATTTAATATTAGGGATGGGCACGAACCAGCTGATAAACTAAAGTTCATAATGAATTTTGGCTGGTTCATGGTTCGTGAACTGAAGTTTGCGACCTGAAAAACTGTGATGGACTTCTATGAATTTTGTTACAATCTGTGGTGGCTCATGGTGGGTCATTCATTAGAAACAGCTGAGTGGCCGGGAGCTCCCTGCCACTCCCCTTTTAAAGGACTGTGCAAGGGAGCCCAATAGAGCTGAGCCCACAAGTTAGAGGCCTCACTGCCGGCCCAGCTTCGGGCTCTCTTGTGTAGCACTGTTTAAAGGGGCTGTGCAAGAGAGCCAAATAGAGCTGAGTCTGTGGGGTGACGCCTCCCTGCTGGCCAGCTTTAAGCCGGAGAAAACTGTAGCCAGCAAAAAGGGAGGGGCAAAGTGCCCCCCAGGGCATTTCACCCCCTCATTTATGCTAACCACAGCTTTCTGTATCCAGCAGAAAGGAAGGTGTGAAGTGCCTCCCTGGGAGCATTTTACCCCTCCTTTCTGTTGGCTGCAGCTCTCCCTAGTCAGCAGAAAAGAAAGGGTGAAGCACCTCCCAGGAAAGCCGTGGCTAGTAGATAAGAGGGGTTGAAATGCCCCCTGGGAGAAACTTCACCCCTTCCTTTCTGCTGGCCATGGAAAGCTGTGGCCAGCATAAAGGAGTGGGTGAAATGCCCTCTGGGAGGCAACCCCCATATTTAACCCTCTGATTTTGCCCCCCCCCCCCACTTCGAAGTGGCAGGAAGCAAAACTGGAGGGTTAAATGGCTGCAAGCTATTTAAATCCTCCCAATCTGCCCCCGCCGCTTCAAGGGGGGAGCAAGGTTTAAATGGCTCTGCGCCATTTAAACTCCTGCTTTCTGTTTTCTGCCACTTTTGCAGGGAGCAGAAAGCAGTGGGTTAAACTTTAAATTACTCACAAACAATTGAACCAGTTCAGTTCATGAACTGGCATATCTGTTCATTTTGGTTTGTGCTTTGGTTCATGGTTCAACCATGAACTGAACCACAAAAATGTGGTTCATGCCCATCCCTATTTAATACAACTTTGTAAATGTTAAAAAAGCACAAATTGGATTGTTTATTTTGCAGAATCCTATAATAAGAAGTATCTCACCCAGCTACGGCCCAAGATTTGGTGGGACGTTGCTGACATTAGCTGGGGAATACCTAAGCAGTGGGAATTCTCAAGAGGTTTTTGTCGGTGAAAAACAGTGTAACATAACAAGGTATAGTTCATCAGATAATGTTTTTTACATTTATTAAGGTACATGATGTGTGGACATTTATTTTGTCTCATGTCGCTTTTATCTTGCCAGTTAACTGTTTTATGCATTTGCAACTTGCTATTGCTTTCTTAGCTGCCTTATATTAATAGCTAAACTTTAAATAAACGAACAAATAAGATATTTACTTAATTGACTTCAGATTCTATTTGTTTTCCATGGTTCAGCCTACTGATAAATTATTGTAATTGGCCCAGATAAGGATACTATTTGTAAAGCATTGGGTATCCCCATAATTAACTTTTGCTTCCTAACAGTTAAAAAAGTTGCTTGATCTTTGTATTAATAAATTATATCTAACCATGTTTAAATAAATGTATACATTTCACCTTGTCATCTGCAGTGCAAACTGTTATGACAATATAGAAGGCAAATTATCTAGTTATTTAGAACATTTTCTGCTGTCTCCGCAGAGGCCTGCTTGAGACAATTGCAACACCACAAACATTAAACAAGAAAGGTTAAAAAGAACATTATGAAAAAGCTAAAAAAGCACAAGCCTTAAAATGACTGTCAGGCCATAAAAATCTTGGTGAAGAAAAATAATTTGGCCTGTCACCTAAAGGAGAATTAAGTAGGCGTCTGGTGAGCCTCAGGGGGAGGGGCATGCTGGAGGCAACTTGCAGCCCATGAAAACAGCTCATCTTTATAGGAGGGGGGGGCGGATCACAGAAAGCAGGGTTAACAAAGAGGGTCTTAATTGGTGGGCTGGACAGTACAGGAGCAGGCAGTCTTTCAGGTATCCTGGCTCCAAGTCATGGAGAGCCTTAAAGTTAAGAGTCAGGCCTTTGTTTTGTGCCCAGAAGCAAACCAATTTTATCATCTAGATGAGAGAATATGATCAATTCAGGGTTCTTGGGGACCCTAACGTAGGTGGAAACGCAGCATAAAAATATTTTAAAGAAATAACTCATTCGATTTTGGCCACACATTTTTTCAGTTTTGTAGTTGGACAGGCCCAAGACAAGCCATCATCTTGTTAAGTTAGAAATTATTGACTGAATTTTTCTGAGCCTTGAATGAAGATGGCTTATGTTGTTTTAGGCTCCAGAGGAATAATGATGGAAGTTTTGACTGCAAATGTGTCTGCCAAAAAGTGAAGTTACTTTCCTCTTCAGGCAGACTGTTTTCCTAACTAATGAGCTCATTATTAGAACTTCTTGTAACTCCTCTTCCTCAAAACAGCTCTGTGAGGTAGGTTAGGCTGTGAGGTTAGACTGGCCCGGGGCCATCCAGCCAGCTTCCATGGCAGAATGGGGATTTAGACTTGGGTTGCCTCAGATAGGGTTGCCAGGTCCCATTGCTGCACTGGCAGGGGATTTGGGGGGCATTCCAGTATGTCACCGACACTATGATGTCACCTGGAAGTGATGTCATTGTGTCGGCGACGCTCTGATGTAAGGGCAATACTTTATGGTTTTAGGCCAAATTCACCATAGAGTTTTGCCCTCAAACCAGAGCATTGCGTGTGACGCCCCCAGTGTAATAACATCACTTCCAGGTGATGTAATTGCGTCAGCGATGTCGTGCCCAGATGTGGCTATTTGGGGGGCGGAGTTTCCCTCAGGGCCAAATGGCTGGCAGTGGGCAGAAGCCCCGAAAAGTGGGGGAACCCCCAATGGACCAGGGGACTGGCAGCCCTATTCCCAGATCATAATCTGATGCTCTAAACACTGCACTACCCTGCTTCTCTGAGATAATTTATAAATATAACTTGTTATATTTATAAGTATATGTTGTTCTTAAATATAAGTTTTTCTCAGGCATATATGCTCTCTACATGGGGCTGCCCTTATCACAAATCCGGAAGCTACAGCGGGAGCAAAATGGTCCTCCCAATGCGGGAGCACATTCAGCCTGTGCCGAAGGCATTGCACTGGCTACCAATAACATACCGAGTTCGCTTTAAGGTGCTGGTTCTTACCTTTAAAGCCCTTTATGGCCAGGGACCTACATACCTGAGGGACTGCCTTTCTCCACACCTTCCCCAGAGAGCACTGCGATCAGGGTCTCTAGACTCACCCTTCCCAGGCCAAAATGTGCCAGGCTGGCTACAACCAGGGCTAGGGTATTCTCAGTGGTAGCTCCGCTCTGGTGGAATGAGCTCCCAGAGGAGATCAGGGCCCTGTGGGACCTTATGCAGTTCCGCAGGGCCTGCAAGACAGAGCTGTTCCACCAAGCGTTCGATTAGGAGCCGCCCTGGGGGAGAATGACCTGCCCCTGGAAATCTTAAAGCAGCCTGAGCCACTCATATAATGTCAGATCAAGATCGACCATTAGGATGGCATGGAAGTTGAGTGCCATCTTAAACATAATGTTTAACTGATGTCTGTTATTGGAAATCAGATTATTATTGTTAGTACATTTTAATATTGTTATTGTTATGGTGTTAAGATTGCTATTTTATGCATTGTAGTTTTTATGTTATTGTAAGTCGCCCTGAGCCGGCCATGGCTGGGATGGCAGGGAATAATAATAATAATAATAATAATAATAATAATAATAATAATAATAATAATAATAATAATAATAATAATAATGATGATGATGATAATGATGATACTCTGTATATCTAATTCCCAAGGCACTCCCTGCGTGCGGATATGCGTGCAGGGAATGCTCTTAGAACAGCTTCGCCACCGCCACTAGAGAGGGGGAGGGGTGGGGGAGAAGGCTTGGCCGGCCGGCCGGCAGCTGTAAGCCGCTCAGTGTTCACCGCCGCCCAGGAGGGGAGAAAGTTTGGTGGGCCGGCGAGGCCTCGCCTTCCGGTCTGCAGCTCAGCATCTTAACCCCTGAACCATCATGGCCCCTAAAGCATTATCTTACAGCAGAGCAAATCTTTTAAAGCAAGGAAAAACTCACCCCTCCCAGAACATGAACATAATATTGGTGTCTTGTACAATGTAGAATTTGAATTACATCTATACGCTGCTGCAGATATTTGTAACACTGGATTTTCCTATAAAGACATGGTCTCATTTGGGAAATGTGTTGTATGTGTTTTTATGGTGATTGTAGCAAGCGTTATTCTTATTCAGTGGCTTTTTCTTTTGCAGAGCATCTGACAGCACCATAGAGTGTTACACCCCTAAACAAGGAGACCAGTCAGAGTGTCTTGTTAAAGTGAGAATTGATGCAGTCTTTCGTTCTGCGGGTCACTTTATGTACAGAGAGAACCCTGCTGTTTCTAAAATTTATCCAGCCAAATCCTTTCTTAGGTGAGTGACAGTTTCTATTGATATAGGAATAGTAATGAATGAGGGAAGAAAGGCACTGCTGAAATCTGTCAAAAGAAGTTTGCTGTGTGAGTTTTTTATAGCCTGAGAAGGTAATACCTTCCAAAGGTGAAAGGGATTTTTTTGACATGACTGCTTAGATTCCTTTTTACCTACATCCTCCATTGCTGTCCTATGGTGTGATTCCACACACCTATAGTATATGTGAGAAAGGGTATTTGAATAATTGTCCTTGACAGATCATTATTACACTGATATTTTAAGTTCCTCATTTAATATTTTTTTTGTTTGGAACTGAATTAACTTTTGGAGGTGCAGTGTTGGGGTGGGGCCTGTGTTATGATTAAAATTGGTCACTGTGAACCAAGCCAACAGTTTTGTCACTGGTCATCTTAACACAAACCCTATAAAGGGTACTAATGGAATAAAATGTTTGCGTGAAAACGTTTTAAAACATTTTTTAATATAGCATGTGAAGGGAAACCTATTTCTCAAAAATAAGAAAGATTCCAAATGCCATTGTGTGTGAGTGTGTTAATTTCTTTCATAAAGCAGTTAGTGTCCAAAGAGTGCATCTGGGGTTGCCAACAGACCTGGAGAAAAATGTTCTGTCCCTTTAATAGAAGCTAACTGTGTAGAAATGGGAAGGTGAAGCCTAAAGTGGCATTGAGGTAAGTAAATAGCAAGTAATAGAGCATTAAACTTCTATTAAAGTGGCAGCATATCTTTTTTGCTCCAGGTATTTGGCAATCCTAAACACGCTGGTATTTGTTGAAAGTTAAAATTCAAGCAAAATTTCAGTTGGTATTCTGAACTGGTATTTAATTGTTATTTTCATTTTATTTATTTTACTTTTGATCAGTGGTGGAAGCACAATTACAGCTCAGGGGATCAACCTGAATTCTGCCTTCTCCGCCAAGATGGTTGTAACAGTCCCTAAACTACACAGGAACTTTACTGTGGTGAGTCCCTAGCATAAGTACTAACTGGTGGGCTTCCAGACAGAAATCTTCAGTTTCTTCCCGCTTTGAAACTTCCTGGACATTGAGGCAGATTTCACGATTGATTCTGTTGTTGGCCTTGCACCTTCAGGCAAACTACTTGCCTTTTTTGGTCTTAGACTTCAAGGTATACTTTTCTGTTTCAAGCAATTGCTTTATTTAAATATCATGCCATAATTTTCTGTGAAACTATTGTGGGGGTCTTGTTCTCTGCACTGGGCAATCAGTGCAGTGCACAGCCAGTTGTTACTGGAAGTTAGCAGAACTATATAAACTAGGTTAATGCAATGCTCTGTATGTGGAGCTGTCCTTGAAAATTGTTTGAAAACTTCTTTTGGTGCAGAATGAGGCACCCAAGATGTTTGAGTGGAGTGGAGTGGGAAGGACCACCTACTTCTTACCTGAAGTACCACCTACTCCCTAGATCCCTTCCAATCTGGTTTCTGGCCTAGTTATGGGACTGAAACAGATTTGGTTGCCCTCACAGATGAGTCATGCTAGGAGACCGAAAACGACTGTGTTGATTCTCCTGGGCCTCTCAGTGGCTTTCAGTACCATCAATCATGGTATCCTTCTGCATCACTTTATCAGGACTGGGATTGGGAGGCGCCATTCTGTGGTGGTTCTGGTCCTACCTGGAGGGTAGGTTTCAGAAGGTGATGCTAGGGGACTGCTGTTTAGCCCCATGGCCTTTGGGGTTCTGCAAGGTTCCATCTTGTCCCCTACACTCTTTAACATCTACATGAAATGGTTGGGTGGATAGCAAAGGAAAAATCAGATGCCTATAGTCATGAAAAAGAAACAATCTTATAAGGGAGCTAGGACTTTTAGTGGTGACCAAAGAGGCACTAAACGAAAGCACCAGATTCACACGGGGCTGCTTTTGCGGCCTGAGGGCTTGGGACTGAGAGAGAGGAGGAGGGTCCTTTCCCAGTGGCAGCTTGCAGGCAGTGGCAGTTGGGCTCTGGCTCCAAGTGGGAGCCAATCAGAAACTGGTCAGTTGGGGGGGGGGGGCTTCGAATTGGACTCGGAGGCCCAAGGGTCTTCTCCCAGTAGACTTAAGGGTCTGCTGCCGGAGAGCGGGCTTTTCAGTCTGCTCTGGATTCAGATAGAATTGCTGTATTCAAATAGAACATGTAGATGCTCACATGCTAAAATTGAAACAATTGAACATACGATTATGGAATGTCCTATATTGAATGAGCTAAGGGCTAGATTAATTACTCCTTCCCTTAGAAATAAGGAAATGCCCAATGAGGCATCTGACAGTATGAGGGTACAGGTGACGTGATTACTATTGCATATAAATGATTTTGTTCCTCTATCTGTGGCAAAATTTATGGGATCAACAATTAAACAACAGAAGACTAACACTAAGTAAGGCATTATCTTATTTTATCATTTTATTTTCTGCTCAAGGCTATCATTATATGAGCAGTACTAGATAGATGGATAGATACTGGACAGGGAGAATAACAGGATTAATATTCAAAATAGCCTATCCCAAATATGCACAACTCTGCATGGGAGAAAGATGGTGGGTAGGCAGGGCCGGCCCACCCACTAGGCGAATTAGACTTTCGCCTAGGGCGGGCCCTGGATGCAGGCACTAAACTGTGCCTCCCCCCCCTCCAAAAGCCCACGTGCACCCATTGCTGCCCCCATCCGCTGCCTCTTTTTCTTCCCGCCACAACCTCCTGCTGCAGCCTGCTGGACCCGCCCCCCCCGACCACACTCCCTCCCTCCGCTGGGCTGCAATCCCGCCCCCTGTGACATTCAACCCCGGCGCTCAAGCCCCACCCCCACTGTGCTCACAACTCGCGTGGCGACATTGCTGCGCCCATCGCCATCTTTCATCTCCAGGGGGGCAAGGTAGCATTGGAGAAGAGCAGCACCAGCAAAAGGTGCAGTGAGGCAGTCATATTTGGGGGGCGGGGGAGCACAGCCGAGTGAGGGAGGCGTACGATTTTTTTTTAAAAAAAGCAACAATCCCGACAGGAGAAGGAAACCTCCCATCTCCAAAGAGCCTTTAAAAAACCCACTCCCAACTGCCTGGTGGGCAAGCAAATGGGAGGATATAGTTTGGGGGGGAAATGTTTAAATGTGAAGCTAGAATCCTTACAACAGCCCTGGAATGTACATTGTTATAATTATCTCTGTAATGCAGATAGGGGGGAGAAGCTGATGGTTAGAGGCTGGCCAAAGGCTGCCAGGTAGAGCATGGGGTTGGTATGCAGAATGTCCCAGGTTCAATCCCCAGCATCTCCAGTTAAAGGGATCAGGTAGTTGCTGATGTGAAAGACCTCTACTAGAGACCTGCTGCTAGTCTGAGGAGACAATACTGGCCTTGATGGACCAAAAATATCTGATTCAGTACAAGGCAGCTTTATGTGTTCATGTGCCTTTACAGAGAAAGGGAACTGTAGGATTAGAATAAAGGTGGTGTTTATTTAGTGGTATTTAGTACCCCTTGTTTGGCTTTGGGTCACTTCCATAGCAGGACACTGAAGCAGATTCCCTCTTCTCCCCATCCGTTCTGGTGGGGAGGTTGGAGCTTTTGTATTTGAGCTCTGTAGAGCATGCCTACCATGTGTTGCTTTTTCCTGGAGACTTCAATTTCTGTGGTATTTCTGTGTGTGTGTTGTTGTTGTTTTACTGTCATGGGTAAACCAGCAAGAGTACTGGATGAATGGCTGAGAAGACTGGAATAAGTACATTCACTTCTTTGGCTTACAGGCACGGTTTAGTAACTACACGTCTCTCTTTAAAAAGTTATGTATGTGTGCAGGAACTGTCTCTTAATAAAATAATCCCTGGGTAGAAGATTCCTGGTTTTCTGGGAAGTCAAGGGGGCCCGCTGGACTCGAGAGATGTGTAGTCAAGAATCCTCCCTTATTCTCTGAAATCTTAAGGTTATGGCTTGCTATGTTACAAGGCTTGGGTGAATACTCCTTTTTCCTTTGGAGCTGTGTTGGTGGATGCGGTGGCTTGGGATACCTGGGACTGGGAGGTCCATTCTGGACTGTCCTGAGAAGAGTGTTTGTGCACAAAAAAAGCTGATATGTTGATCTTAAAGGTGCCACTGGACTCAAGCCAGGATCAGGGTTAGGGTCAGAATATGATGTGCCTGAAATGGAAACACTAAGGAGACTTAAATTTAAACATCACAGTTAACAGGATTTTTCAAAATGCTTTGTGATTTGTGTTTTTCTGTTTGAGAGAGAAAATCAGAGCTTGTATTACTTTTTCTCACAGTTAAAAAAAGAAATTAGCAATTTCAAATGTTGTGTTTTTCATTCTTCCTAAAATGAATTTATGTTTGAAAATTGGTGGGCGCACCGGGGGTGTGTGTGTGTGCGCCAGAAGGTATCCTCGCCTAGTCTGCAAAAAAAAGCTGTGGCTGGCCCTGTGGGTAGGCAGCTAAAAATGAACTTAGGGTTGAGTGCCTTGTTTAGACATAGAATGAAATCAGCACGTTTCAGCTGTGATTGTAAATTCCTGCACGTGAACAGGTCATTTTAAAGACATGATAGAAGTGTATTTAAAACTATTGTATCTTTCACACGTGTGCACTGACAGAAGAGGGAGGAAGCCTGAACACTTTAAATGTACATTTAATTTTTACCATAAAAGTCTTCCACTTGCATATGTGCATCTTCCTAGGTCAGGCACTGTTCCTTTCTGTGTTCTATTCTATCCCCAAGTGCCTGATATTGATCTCTTCCCCATCTTGCCGTTCAGCACTATAAAGCATTAGCATCTTAGATTCTGTGTCAAAGGCCACTTATCCTCTGGGTTTTCGTGATGGCCCAGATTCTCTAACATGCCAGCCTTTTACCCCTTGCTTTATCTAGGTCAGCTCTTAGGTGATGCCCTAAAGCACATAGAGCTTCTTCCACATTTATCCTGTTGCTGAAAAAGTTAGAGAAAAATCAAGTTAGACCCCTGATGGGTCATGTTTGTATTCATTGCCTCATAGGTCACAATTAGTGTTGAGCAGGGATACATCTGCCTTCTTGTTGTAAATGACATTATTTTGTTGAAAAAGACTGTGTTCTTCAGGGCCATTTACATGCTACACAAGATGTCAGCAATACCCCACTTCTTGGAAACTATTCCCATTTGCATTGTTAACAAGTGATTGACAGCACCTGGAAAATTTCATAATAGATGCCTTTTAAAGCCAAATTAAAAAGCCAGCATCTTAATTTAGCTTGGGCTTGATTGAATTGTGTCTTTACTCCCTTATAGGCTTATCAATCTTGTGTTTCATGAAAAGTCTCATATTTTTTTCAATTACTAAAACCAATGATTGAAGCAAAAATGTCAACTTAAATTATGTAACAATAAGGGCACTACAAATGCAATTTCTCTTGACCTTCCCAATCAGTCACATTGCATCACCTCTAAAGGGTGTTATTAGATTTTTTTATCATTCTCTGAAAGCATCCTTTTCAGAGACTTCCCTGATAAAGTAAAGAGCTATAAACCGTATTCCAATAATGTCCACAAACTAGGTTATGAATGTCACTATTATTAATTTAAAGGACATTGGTACTCTTCAGTAGATAAGATGTGCAATGAATTTACATTAATCACATAAGTATAATGATTGCTTGAGACTTATTTTGATATACAAAAAGAGCATGTGTGTGTGTGTACAGGATTAACCCACCCAGGCCAGGCCAGGGATGAGAGGGAATCCTGTACTTTTCAGTACATTAAACAACAAACCACGAGATGGTCTATACCCTCTCTGGTTTTCAGAACAATTTGCCACCAGAATCTCTTTTCAATAGTCCCTGCTTTTCCTAAGGGAGAGATTCAGCCCTTAGTTGATGCACGCTTTACTCTTACAAAGGTAGCTTAAGTGGTCAGGGTTAGCGACAAATTTAGCCTTGGAGTTCAAGTTACAACATCAGAGACAATTAGAAATAAGAAGGATCTTTATTCAGTACAAA